AACCGATGCTCGGTTATCCGGTTCCCTCACCTATGATTTTTTGCGGGAAACGGATGTGTACAGTTAAAAACGAGGTCTGACTGTAGTGAAAAGCAGACATTTTCGGGGGTGTTATATTTTCGGTAACTTCGGTGCCGACAATTTTTACCGAAAATAAAACGCACCGAAAATTCCGGTACAACCGATACTGTATACATGTAGTACAAGCACACTTACCGGGTGTTGTAATTCAACGTTCTGCACACGATAGGAACTAAGGCACTCACAAAACACAACGGATAATAGGTTTATCCATTACTTTACCATAGTATAGTAGAAGACTGGAGAGTCCTTAGACTCGAGCGGAATGAATGAAAATGATAGCAAGCTCAGGTTATATGCGCTCCAAGCGTTTGGTGCAACCGGATGCAAAGTTAGCGTACAGCGCATGCGGACTTTAGATCTCTAGATGTACGCTACAGAGTGGCGTGCAGTTTTAGAGCAGCGAACACAATTTTATTCTAGAGATGTACACAGAGCGCATGCGTCAAATTCAGTTTGGGAAAGGTTGCGTGTGAGCAACATGCAAATAAATTATGGGCGAAGACTTTGTAAACAACAGCCTTCGCTTGCAGCAGGAAGATAACTAATGTTTGTAAACATGAAGTATTATCATACCTTGCCAGAAAGGTGTCTCGGAGTGACCTAGACCTGGAGAAGTCAGGTACGTGATTTATGTATTTGCACAACATATTACTATCGTAAATATTTGAAGTATGCTCGAGAATTATTGAAATGTCTAACTATAACATTCCCTTCCCCTTCACAAAATAAAATGAAGCCTGAAAGTAAAGACGAAATCTATAAACATGAGCCTGAAACCCCGTCCAGTTACTTGCCGAAAGACGGGTTCTCAATTAAGCGCTCTGGTGGTCTAGAGATCCGAGTAGAACGCCGCAAAGAGACTGCTGGACTGGGTGCACTGGGTGTGTCTGGTTCAGAATCTATTGCTGTGCTTGCATCTGCAGACTCATTGTAGGTAACAGTACTAGAAGCGGGAAACGTAGCAGCTGTAACAGTAGGAGCGTTCTCCGAGCTATCCTCTGGAGTAATCATATTATCAGGTATGGAGGACAATGGACACTTACGAGCCGAATCAGCACTGTCGGATGTATCACCGGCGGGATCTCGTAACCGTAAATGCTCAATATGGACATGACAGATGGTGGTACCACTCTCAACAGAGTAGGTCAGTGGTCCCAGTCTGGCTGCAATAACCGCTGGTGTCCATTTGTTATGGCGAACATCCTTGACCCAGACGCTGTCACCTGGCAGGAAAGCTCGCATAGCTGGCGCAGAGTCTTGCTTGGCCTGCATGTGCGTTGCAAAACTAGGATAGAGAAATGAGAAACGTGTGACGGGGACGCACTTCATAATTATGCTAGCTGGTGACGCGTGAGAGACAGAATGTGGTGTGTTTCTATACGAAAACAGGAATTGCGAAACAGCATCTTGAGGAGAATCATCTGATTTTGCAAGATGTTTCTTAAGTTCTTGTACTAGACGCTCCACCTGTCCATTGCTAGCAGGATGGTACGGAGGGGTTCTTTTATGCCGAATACCATTTTTCTGACAAAAGGTGGCAAATTCCATGGACGTAAACTGCGGACCATTGTCCGATACTAACATCAGCGGGATTCCGCAATAGCTAATGAACCGTTTCAAGCATGATAATGTCCGCTCAGTAGTAGTAGATTTGCCCATAACAAATACATCTGCCCACTTGGAGTACGCATCAATTATTAACAAGTAGTGCTGACCTTTGTATTCAGCGAAATCAAGATGAACCCTCTCAAATGGCCGGTTCGGGTAGACCCAGTGGTGAATGGGTGCCTTCGTTGGTGCTCGAGCCTGCTGTTGGCATAGACGACAATTCGCAGCAAGTTCAACTATGTCTTGGTCTAAGTGAGGCCACCAGAAGAAGGATCTAGCCACAGCTTTCATGCGAGATACGCCAAGATGATCAACATGCAACTCATGCAACAGACTGGAACGAAATACCAAGGGAATCACAACCCGCAAACCCCAGGTGATACATCCCTGCTCAACAGATAGCTGGTCTCGAATACGATAGTACGAGGAAAGACTGTCTGGGACACTGCTAGGCCAGCCATGTGTGATGTGGTGCATGACCTTACGTAGAGTGGGGTCAGCTGTAGTTGCCTTGCTAACATCGGTAGCGGATAATGGCAGATCATGACAAGGATCAACATTGACAGACCTAATGTAATCCGTGAGCTGTTGTTCCTGAAGCACAGAAAGCTGAACGGGCAAACGCGATAGACAGTCAGCAACAACATTATCAGTACCATTGATATGCTGAATGGAATATTGATACTCGGACAAAATAACAGCCCAACGTTGTAGACGTGCTGTAGTGACAGACGGAAGTTGATCATGTTCACCAAAGATCTTCAATAACGGTTTGTGATCGGTGCGAAGGGTGAAGTGTCGTCCACACAGATACTGTTTAAGACGCTTCACGGCAAATACAATGGCAAGAGCTTCTCTCTCAATTTGCGCATAATTTCTTTCAGCAGCAGCCAAAGAACGAGATACATAAGTAACAGGACGCAAATAACCTACTTTGTCTGGTTGTAGTAGGCAGGCACCGATTCCCGTGGGAGACGCGTCGCACTCCAAGATGAGTGGTTTCTTGGGATCATAGTGAGCCAGTACGTTTGATGATGCTGTTCAGGACTCACCTTCACTACTATGCAATATTTGCCATTATGCCAGATTACGCTGGCACTTGCAGTGCACTAATTATTTCTTGTTTCTATATGCTTGAGTTGTATCTGTCGCGTATCTTTCTTGGCTCGATATGAGTCCATTTATAGCTGTAGCCATCCTGTCCCAGCCGGCAGGGGGTCGCACGGGTTCATGACCTTTACGTTTCCGGCGTTTGTACATTTCTGTTGTACCAGCGCTGCTGCTAATTTGTCGTAGGTCGCGCATATGGCCCTGCGTGTGCCGTACGCGCGGCGTTTTCTTTGCTTTTGTATTTGCTGTTTCTCCCTGCTTGGGGGAGTTGTCGTGAGAGAGAAACAGAGTGAAATGGAAGAAAGAAGTCGTTTGGAGTTTGTCGTAGAACTACTAGAAATAGCATAAGCGTGATTCCGCCACGCAGTTCATATTCGGAACAGATGGTAGCAGAGGATGGTTCGAACAATATTTGAAATTAGCAGTTTGTAAGTCGAAAATGTCCGAGCGTACGAGTAGCGATGTCGAGGAGAGCAGCTCGATCAGCCCACACGAAGCGGAGGTGGAACAGGACCCACCGGAAAGCAAGAAGCATACGGCTTCCAGCGGTGTACCTCCTGGCAAGTCGATTGTACCACCTGAAAATGTCGAAGGCCATTTGATGCAATTGAAAAGCAAAAAACAAAAAGCCAAAAGAGAATTTACAAATACCCGACGAGGGTTGTTGGTTATAATGCGAGAGGGCGGTACGATGGAAGCGGCGGACCAGCAGCTCTGGTATCTTGAGAATGTCGAGCAAGAAATATTTGCATTGCTGACCGACATGGAGGAACTGTACTTGGGAGCTAATAATATCAAAGCCGTATCGAAGGTACACGACGAGATGGAAGACTTAAATCAAGAAATGAGAGCGACGACTGATCGCTTCGACCAGTTCGCGAGCCAGCTCGAGTCGCAGGTTAAAAAAGAGCCTGCACTTGCAGCGGGCCAGAACTCTGTGGAAAGGACGAGCAGTAGTACTAGTAATACTAATAGTCTGGATGCCACAGCCCAGCCTTTCATGCCAAGTGTGACCCAGTCTCAGGAAGAAAAGGCCACTCCAGCTGACTCAGATAGTCAGCAAGCACTGGAGTCCGATCCTAGCAGTACTGGTATCAGGAGAGGTGTTACTGTTAGTGCAGCAGCTGAGACTGTACACCAGGAACAGTGGCAACCTGGTCAAGTAAGTAAGCAGTTAGATCCTGCACTGAGTACTACTGCCAGCCAGTCATCAGTGACCCAGACTAGCCAGACCGGAGCTGTCACTGCTAGCTCATCAGTCAGTATGACCACCAGCAGCACAGGGGATGGAACCAGTCCACGTCATGTACCTGCCCCAGTACAGTCAACTTCGCCAATAACGACATTCGGCGGGGCATCAGAAAAGTGTCCTTATTCGCGAAGTGTCCTTATAACCGAAGTCCCATTTGAATGTATGTGTACCCATATTTTGTATAGTATGACATGCATATCAAAATCAAGCTCTTTTCTTGCTCTATGTCAATATGCGTACTTTATTTTCATATTGCAGTTGAAAGGAACTAAAAATTCAATATGCAAGGGAAATCAATTGAAAAATATGCCTTTTTGAGCCATCTACAGGGCCAGAGACATGTACATGTATGATGATCACTGTACAATCTTGTACAACTACATGTACATTGTATACATATACATGTAGGTGTGCTGGTAAATCCAACAATTTTGAAGCCAACATAAAAAAGGAAAAAAGCCCCCCCCCCCCCGCCCCCCTTGGCTGCATTTTCTTGCATGTGTGCCTTTATAATTAATTAATAATATCCATCACCGCCACCAGTGCACCATAGGTTCTGGTACTTCTGCATGACAGGTACATGTACTTGACTGACAGGTACTTGAAATAGCTGTCAAAAGCCCAGAAAGTCGTTATTCAAGCAGTGAATATGACCTCGGGGCACTAAAAGCATGTCGCTATACGCGAATTGTCGTTATTCAGATAGTCGTTATATCCGAAGTAAAATGTATACAGTTAGATGGGACTTTGCTCTGGGCATGGAAATTCGGTCGTTATTCGCGAATTGTCGTTATATCCGCCGTCGTTATTAGCGAAGTTGACTGTAAGTGCACCACTGTACACTCAGGCACATACCGGAATATCCAGCAGTACAGATACAAGGAGCAGTAGTGCAAGGGTAGCACTCAGTACTACTAGTAGTAGACCAGCTCTGCCAGCAGTGCGCATGTCCGCAGTAGCGCAGCCGGCACTACCAGCACCACCACCACAATCGGCAAGGGCAGCTGTCGGCCAGGACCTGTGGAGGCAGCTTAAGCGAGTATCCATTCCAGTATTCCGTGGGGACAAGAAGCAGTTCCCAAGCTGGAAAGCAGCATTTCTGGCATGCATTGATCAAGCTCCGCTGACAGCCGAATACAAAATGCTGCAGCTGCGGGAGTACCTGGCAGGCGACGCATTGAGAGCAGTAGAGAATCTGGGCCACTCTGCCGCTGCATATGAAGCTGCCAAGACCCGTTTGGAGAGAAAGTTCGGCACAAGTCGGCGACAGGTGAGCCTGTACCTCGAGGAGCTGGACAGATTCCGACCCATCCGTCCAGAATCAGCAAAAGACGTAGAACAATTTGCGGACCTACTTGACGTGGCAGTCATCAATCTGAAGGATATGCAGCGGACTGAGGAGCTGGGCAACGGTTCCCTGTATGCCAAGCTGTTGTCTAAAATGACGGAAGCCATGGTAGTCAACTATCAACGCTGGCTCTACGAAAACCACGAACCCGAGAATGTGGAAACCCTGCTGACCTGGGTAAATCGTGAGGCAGAATTCGCAGTCATAGCTGCCGAGTCAGTCCGGGGAGTGACCTCGCAAACCCGTCAACAGGAGTCCAGCACTGCACGGCCAAGGGACGTGAGCAGCCATGGACGAGGAGCAGATCGGCGTACCTCGCATCACACCTTCGTGAGCTCAAGCACTAGTGGCGACCTGCCGAGCCGCAACCGCTCTTGTCCAGCATGTGGCCAGGGTCATCCAGTGTGGCGATGCCCAACATTTCAATCGCAAAGTGTCACAAGGCGTTGGGCTACAGCACGAGGAGCCGCATTGTGCTACAGGTGTTTAGGCAGCGGGCATAGTGGGGCGAACTGCACACGCAGCCGCACCTGTGGGATCGACGGCTGCACGGAAACGCACAACCGCCTGCTCCACTCATCAAACAGTGACACCAGTATGGACCCTGCGGCGAGGAAACCAGCTGGAGCTCAGAGCAGTAACAACCAGGGTATAGCAAAGCCAAGAGCAGCACCCAGTCAACCAGACAGGTCAGGCCAGATGTCTGGGCCTCCTTCATCCGTCATGAACACGGAAGGGGAGTCAGTGTCCGAAGCCGGTGCGCATGCCAGAACGCATCACGGCCAGCAAGTTGAGCCACAGACAGCCCTGCGGACAGTGCCGGTGACCTTGGTAAACGGCAACCGCAAGATTGCGGTGAATGCCCTACTTGATGACGGCAGCACCGTGTCCTACATGAACAGTAGCATCGCAGCTGAACTGGGTCTGGCAGGAGAACAAAAGAGTATTACGGTGTCTGTCCTCAACGGAGCAGCGACAACGTTCAACACCGCCTCAGTGAACTGTCAAATCAGCAGCAGCGACGGAAGGGCCAGGTATGACTTCACGGCATGGACAACCAACAATGTGACCGCATCACTCAAGGCAATTAACTGGAACAATCAGCGAGATCGGTGGCAGCACTTGAGAGAGGTCCCATTCCCTCCTCTCAATGGAACAAAACACATCGACATACTCATCGGAGTCGACCATCCATACCTACATGCATCGCTAGACGAGATTGCAGGAGGTCCAGGAGAACCTGTTGCACGAAGAACTCCACTAGGCTAGACTTGTGTCGGGCTCGTCAATCCCGACACCACAGCCATCACATCACTGAACGGTCACAGTACGACAACCGCCAGTCTCGAGCAACTCAACCAGGTCGTGCAGCGGTTCTGGGAGATCGATCAGAGCGGCACCCAGCTACGCAGCCACGTGCAGTTGACAACAGCCGAGCAGCAGGCCACAGACCGCGTCGCAACATCGCTGATTGGCACTAGCAGCGGGCGCTACGAGATCCAGCTGCCATGGAACGCCAGGAAAGTAGAGCTCAGAAACAACTACGCTATGGCACTGCGCCGACTCAGCAGCACAGAGAAGCGACTGCAGCACAGCAGCGAAGTAGCAGCAGCATACAGCCAAGCCATCGATGATTACGTGCACAAGGGCTATGTAGAGCAAGTGCAAGCAGCGGACATCGCCAATTCCGGTTGGTTCCTGCCACATTTCCCCATTGTGCGTATGGACAAGAGTACGACGAAGGTACGCATGGTGTTTGATGCTGCTGCACATTATCAGGGCATTTCTTTGAACGACGCCATCTTGCCTGGTCCGAAGCTTCAGAGAGAGCTATTTGACGTGCTGCTACGATTCCGTCGAAACTCAGTAGCCCTGGTCTGTGATGTCAAAGAGATGTACTTGCAAATCGAAATACACCCGGACGATCGCAAGCACCTCCGGTTTCTCTGGCGTACACAAGACGAGGTCAACGTGTACCAATTCAATCGACTGGTGTTTGGACTCAACGTTTCACCATTCATCGCACACTACGTCATCCAGAACCATGCGCGGCAACATGCAGTGACGCACCCTCGAGGCGCCGAAGCAGTTCTGGAGTCAACCTACATGGATGACACACTGGATTCAGTGGAGAGTGACGAGAAAGCAGTTGAACTCTATCACCAGCTATCGTTTGTGTGGAGCACCGCCGGGATGAAAGCCAGAAAGTGGCTGAGCAACTCGCCAACAGTCCTGCAGAGCGTTCCGCAGGAAGACCGGCAATCATCAATCGACTTGTCAGGAGAGCTACCAACAACCAAGACGCTTGGTGTACAGTGGCGGCCTGACAGTGACCAGTTTGGCTTTACATTCTCGAAGCCAGCAGACAACAACATCACGAAGCGCCTAGTGGTGCGACACATCGCTACAGTGTTCGACCCATTAGGATTCCTAGCACCATTCGTTGTGCGTGGGAAAATCTGCATCCAGGAAATGTGGGTAGCCGGTCTGGATTGGGATACCCCAGCGCCAGAGGCAATAGCGGGTAAGGCTCGAGCTTGGTTGAACGAACTCTGCGACACAGATGCCATCCAGATACCGCGCTGTCTCTACCCGAATAGTGAAGCCCCGGACAAGGTACTGCACGTCTTCACTGATGCATCAACGCTAGCCTACGGAACAGTTTGTTACGCAGTGTCAACCCTTGCAGATGGACAGGTCTGTGTTCGTATGGTTGCTGCAAAGACACACGTCGCACCGCTCAAGACCATCAGCGTACCCCGTCTTGAGCTGATGGGAGCCATGCTCGGCCTCCAGTTAGCACAGTCTACAGCTGAGGCACTCAAGATTCCGAAGTCAGCAGTTGTCTATTGGAGTGATAGCGTGGATGTCCTCTGCTGGATTCGCAACCCCAGTCGCATCCACAAGCCATTTGTCGCGCATCGTATCGGGGAGATACAGCTGGCAACGCAACCAGAACAGTGGCGCTACGTGCCAACGAAGTGCAACCCAGCAGACCTCGCGTCCCGTGGAACCTCAGTAACCAGCCTCATCACCAGCCAGCTGTGGTGGGAGGGACCGCAATTTCTGCAGCAAGAGCAATCGACGTGGCCACCAGCACCGGCACAGCTTTCATTGACGGACAATGCGAAGCAAGAAGTGAAGAAGGACCATCGGGCTACGGCATCACAGAGCCAACAACAGCAGACGTTCACAGGCAGCATCACTGCCGCCGACTTGGGACGCTTGGACCCGGCTCGCTATTCCGAGTTTAATCGACTCCTACACGTCACAGCCTGGGTGTTCCGGTTTATCCAGAATTGTCGCACACCGGCCAGCAAGTTAGTGACGTCCACGCTGACGGCAGATGAGCTGAAGGACGCAAGAACGTACCACTGCAGAACAGCACAGCAACAAGCGCTTGAGTACAACACCGTGAGGCAGAAGAACTCACTGCCCAAGGCCAGCAGTCTGAGGCAGTTCCAGCCGTTCATCGATGCGGACGGGTTGATGCGGGTTGGTGGTCGTCTTCAACATGCCGAATTTCTATCGTTCGACCAGCAGTGCCCGATAATACTGCCAAAGGGACACCGAATCACGCAACTCATCATCAAGTCGTACCATGATTGCGGGAATCATACGTGCGGCGTCAATCACATGCTATCGGAGCTATCAAATCAGTACTGGTTGCTCGGTGGGCGTGACGAGATTCGTTCCTGTGAGTCCAACTGTGCCAGATGCAAGCTACGAAAAGCATCACCAGCAGAACAGGTAATGGCTCCCTTGCCGAAGGTACGAGTCAGCCTGCCGCTACGAGCCTTCGCACGAGTCGCAGTGGACTACGCTGGGCCATTTACAACAAAGCAAGGACGAGGCAAGACCCGAGCCAAGAGGTACCTCTGTCTGTTCGCTTGCCATCTGACACGTGCCGTTCACTTGGAGCTAGCGTACGGCCTCGACGTGGACTCGTTCCTCCAAGCGTATCATCGCTTCACCAACCGGAGAGGAACGCCAGTGGAAGTCACATCCGACAATGGAACAAACTTTGTGGGCGCCAACAATGAGCTCCGTGAGTTGGCAGAGGCGCTAGATGTCGACAAGCTCCAGCGAAGCATGGCGCAAGAAGGCACTCGTTGGCACTTCAACCCACCTAGTGGACCGCACTTTGGTGGCGCACACGAAGCACTGATCAAGGTGGCGAAACGAGCTTTGTCTGCCACACTCAGCAACCGCGATACGACTGACGAGGAGTTGTACACCGCCATTACCGGTGCTGAAGCGCTGATGAACTCCCGCCCATTGGGATACCAGTCAGCCGACCCACGTGATCCGTTACCGCTAACACCGAACCATTTCTTGCATGGGCAGCAGGGCATGCCATTCGTCCCAGCAGGCACTGACGAGACGCAATGGACACTCAAACAGCGATGGCGGATGGTCCAGGACATCGTACTTCAATTCTGGCGCCGCTGGATGAAGGAAATTGTGCCAGAGCTGAACCGTCGCAAGAAGTGGACTCAGACCAAGCCAGATCTCACCGTCGGAGATGTTGTGCTAGTCGTGTCACCAGACACTGCACGAGGAGAGTGGCCACTAGCAAGAGTGGCGGAAGTGTACCCAGGCAGTGATGGGCATGTTCGAGTCGTGAAGATCAAGGTCCGAGGGAAGTATCTGACACGGCCTATCACTCAACTGTGCCGTATTGACGCGGAGTGAGCAGTAAGAGAATTAAGTCAAAGTGTGTATGAATATTCGACAACGCATTGCTCGTTTGCTCGTTATGTTCGGAGTGTTTTTCATTATTGTTTGTTGTTATCGTAGTGCAGTTTAGCCTATGCACCCGTTTGCATGTTGTCAAGCAGTATGCTATTTTGATTCGCGTAGTGCATGAGTTAGTTGCTATTTATTTATTGATGCTATCGTTGAGCTGGCATGTTGCGCTTTAAGGTCAATCCCAGCAGCAAGCAGTATTGGATTGAAGAAGGGGAGAGATGTTCAGGACTCACCTTCACTACTATGCAATATTTGCCATTATGCCAGATTACGCTGGCACTTGCAGTGCACTAATTATTTCTTGTTTCTATATGCTTGAGTTGTATCTGTCGCGTATCTTTCTTGGCTCGATATGAGTCCGTTTATAGCTGTAGCCATCCTGTCCCAGCCGGCAGGGGGTCGCACGGGTTCATGACCTTTACGTTTCCGGCGTTTGTACATTTCTGTTGTACCAGCGCTGCTGCTAATTTGTCGTAGGTCGCGCATATGGCCCTGCGTGTGCCGTACGCGCGGCGTTTTCTTTGCTTTTGTATTTGCTGTTTCTCCCTGCTTGGGGGAGTTGTCGTGAGAGAGAAACAGAGTGAAATGGAAGAAAGAAGTCGTTTGGAGTTTGTCGTAGAACTACTAGAAATAGCATAAGCGTGATTCCGCCACGCAGTTCATATTCGGAACAGATGCTAAGATCTCCTTGCACTGGATGAAGGCATGTTGACACTCGGGAGTCCAGTTCCATTCTGTACCCTTCTGAAGAAGACGGTTCAAGGGATACAACAACTGCGAAGCATTAGGGATAAATCGACCATAAAAGTTGACCAGCCCCAAGAAGGAGTGTAGTTCTGACGAGTTAGTGGGCTGTGGTGCTTTGGCTATAGCAGATACTTTGCTAGGATCAGCATGCAGCCCCTTGCTTGATACAATGAAGCCTAGATACTTGACACTCTCCTGGTTCAGCTCACACTTCGCTTTCTTCAGCTGTAATCCTGCCTTCTCAAATCTGTCTAGAACTTGACGCAACCGGGTATCATGCTCTGCTTGGTTGGTTCCCGTGATTAAGATGTCATCAAAGTACACGATGACCCCATCGATGCCAGCTAAGATCTGCTCTATAGTCTTTTGCCAGATTGATGGTGCTGAGGAAACGCCAAAGGGCAATCTCGTGAAAGCAAATAACCCTCGATGGGTTGCAATGACGCACAGTTTCTGACTGTCTTCGGACAATGGCAACTGAGTGTATGCTTGGCTGAGATCAACTTTTGAGAAAACAGAGGCCCCTGCAATGCTGGACAATATATCACTGGGATTTGGAATAGGGTGTATGTTGCTTTCAATATGCTGGTTGATGGTGACTTTAAAGTCTGCACAGAGTCGTATAGAACCATCGGCTTTCTTCACAACAACAATAGGAGAAGCCCACTCTGAAGATTCTACCGGAACTAGAACACCCTCCTTAATCAAACGATCTAATTCAACATCAACTTGCGGTTTCATGGCGTATGGCAACGGTCGAGCTGAGTAACACTTGGGAATTGCCCCGCTGGCAATGTGGATCACCGCCTCCGAGTCATGGATCTTGCCCAGACCACCTTCAAAAACGCTTGGGAACTCGTCTAATACAGACTCAGAATCAGACGTACGTGGAACAGAAGAGACAGAACAGATGGTATGCCAATCCAAACGTATGTTAGACAACCAATTGCGGCCGAACAACGGGGTGGTGCCCTCTTTGACCACAAGAATCTTCTCCTGGACATGTTGCGACTGGTACTGTACATCGACACAGGCCTCCCCCACAACAGTTAAAGGTGCCCCCGAGAAAGTACAGAGTGCAGTCTTGGTGGCATTCAGTTTGACATCTCCCCACAACTGTTTCCAAAGAGCCTCAGGAATGATAGATAACTGTGCCCCTGTGTCAAGTTCCATGTTGAGGGGTTTCCCGTTTACATGTACATCAACTCGGAATTTGCCAGTGTGACTGTGCTGGGACCCAATATTGGCAATCATGAAATCTGAGCTTAGAGCTTCATCACATTGGTCAGGCAGTGAGACATGGTGAGTACCAGCATCCCTAGGTTGGGCATGCGATGATCTACTTGCATTGCTACTACTAGTACCACCTTGAGATCTACAACAAACAGCATAGTGTCCAACCTTACTACACGTGTTGCATCGGCGGCGGCGTGCTGGGCAATCGTCAGCTGACGACGCGTGACCCACCCTGTTGCATCGCGTACATGGGGAGCGCGTTGACGATGTCGTAGAGCGTACGGCGTCGACGCTGCTCGGGCTGGCACTGACGCTTGACGCTGCCGTAGCCATAGATCTTACTTGAATGCCTGACGATTCTCGAACGCGAAACTTTTCCAGCAGCACCTGTAGGGTAAGGTTACTCTTGGACAGAAGAGAGCGTTGCAGATCGACGTCAATACAAGTGGCAATCATCTGATCACGAATATGCTCGTCATCTGCAGCAAATGCACAAAGTTTGGCCTGCGTACGGAGTCTGGTGCAGAATTGCGTGGCATTCTCTCCTACATTGGGTGACATCTGTCTGAAAACGTGCCGCTCAAAAGTTGGATTGACTGTATATGCGAAATGCTCATCAAGCATTCTTACCGCTTGTTTGAAAGCATTGTCATCCCCTGGTCTATCTGCCTGCGCAACCGGGTCTTCGAGATCTTCAAAGATCTCCTGAATCTGTAGGCCAGCCTTGTGCAACAGCATGCTGCGCTGGCGATCTGGGTCGGTGATGTCCTTGGCTTCGACGAAGTACTGGAAAGCCCGCCGCCATTTCTTCCAACGCTGTTGGACCTCACTTGCGTGCCCACTGATAAGGAACTGGTCGATGGAGTCCTTGGACATGGTTCGGAAATTTCGTCGCCAATGTTGTAATTCAACGTTCTGCACACGATAGGAACTAAGGCACTCACAAAACACAACGGGTAATAGGTTTATCCATTACTTTACCATAGTATAGTAGAAGACTGGAGAGTCCTTAGACTCGAGCGGAATGAATGAAAATGATAGCAAGCTCAGGTTATATGCGCTCCAAGCGTTTGGTGCAACCGGATGCAAAGTTAGCGTACAGCGCATGCGGACTTTAGATCTCTAGATGTACGCTACAGAGTGGCGTGCAGTTTTAGAGCAGCGAACACAATTTTATTCTAGAGATGTGCACAGAGCGCATGCGTCAAATTCAGTTTGGGAAAGGTTGCGTGTGAGGAACATGCAAATAAATTATGAGCGAAGACTTTGTAAACAACAGCCTTCGCTTGCAGCAGGAAGATAACTAATGTTTGTAAACATGAAGTATTATCATACCTTGCCAGAAAGGTGTCTCGGAGTGACCTAGACCTGGAGAAGTCAGGTACGTGATTTATGTATTTGCACAACATATTACTATCGTAAATATTTGAAGTATGCTCGAGAATTATTGAAATGTCTAACTATAACACCGGGAGAACGGGTTTTACCGAAAATTTAAAATTTCCCTTCACCGAACCGCCGATTTTGGAGAATACCGAAAATATTACACCTCCGAAAATTTCTGCTTTTACAGTACCAGCAAGGGAGATTGCCATGTTTCCAGGACTGTTTATTCCTTTCAGTCCCCACTCCATTGTTTACGTAGATTCACTGACGAGCGTAACAAGAAAACAGTTCTGAACAAGACCCTTCGTTCTTTCTCGTTGTGTGCCGTGCAATCATCGTTTCACATTTCACGCATGCATGCCGACAAATAGGTCGTGCTTATACAGTCAGCTTTGCTAGTAACGACTGCGGATATAACGACAATTCGCGAATAACGACAGAATTTCCATGCCCAGCGCAAAGTCCATTCTACCTGCATACATATAATGAGACTTTGGGTATAACGGCACTTCGCGAATAAGGACACTCTTCTGATGCCCGGCCGGGTGTCGCTATACGCAAAGTTGACTGCAGCTAAATTAGTTACTCTTCCTGTTGCAGATTACTGTACAGGCAGGAAATTTCGTCGGTCAATAATTTCGTCCAACTCCAAAGAAAGGGAGTTCGTCCGGTTAAAAATTTCGTCCATGGATGATCACAAGAGTGTATTGAAAAGCTGGACTAATCGACATTAGTCCGGCATTTAATTCCCGTAGCTATGCAGAAGACGTTACTTCAGTAACGTCTGGCGCTAGCCAGGGTCCACACAGCTTTAATTTGGTATTTGTGTGTTTGTTTGTTTGTTTGTTTGTTTGTTTGTTTGTGTCACGCCTGGCGCTATCCCCTATCTGTCCCGTACTGTACCGTACCATCAAACACAGCTGGCCACATACAGCTGGCCGCAATATTCAAATAGGGCTTTCAAACGCAAGATCATAACGTGAAGCAACTTGGAAGAATGGGTATGAATGCGAAGTGTATGGGGAAATGCATGTAGGGCGATAGTGCGGGTTCGAATCCCAGGATATGCCTGAAAAAAAAATAGGAGAAATGAAAAATTTATAACATTCCTATGCTTTTTTTGCAGTCATCAAGGCGGTAGACTGTGTCGTACTACCCTCGATCGTACCTGTCCCGTACCTATCCCGTACCGTACCGTACCATCAAAGACGGCTGGCCACAGTGCATATTCAAATAGGGCTTTCAAATGCAAGATCATAACGTGAAGCAACTTGGAAGAATTAGTATGTATGCGAAGTGTATCGGGGGATGCATGCAGGGCGCGCGATAGTGCGGGTTCGAATCCCAGTTTATGTCTTAAAAAAAAGGAATTTTTTAAAGAATTTATAACATCCCTATGCTTTTTTTTGTCTAGGTCATCAAGGCAAAAAAAGCATAGCGTAGGGCCCTGAGCTTCCAAGCTCTCTCGTTTAGTCAAAAAGCTCCTTGGACGAAAAAGACGAAATTAAATTCCAGACGAATATTTCTGCTTATACAGTATTACTTCTAGAACCTTTTCAGAGCAATCCCGTCAGATTACTGATAATTATTACAGGCAAGTTACCGGTAGTGATATGCAAACCTAGGCACAAGTGCAATACTCCAACAGGCGAAATCTTCACTACAACTTGTACTGGCAAAGGTATACGTTAGATTAAAGTAGTTGTCTTGAGGAGTTGCGTGTTGCAGTATCGTGAAAGTCGCTGCATGCATTTGCTCAAACTGTAGTCTTGTCTGTTGAAAAGCCATGTGTTTACGTGTGAGATCATTATGACTGTTATCATGTCAGGGCCAACACACCTGTAGCTCACAAGCAACACGTGCTATCACGTGCGTGCGTGCGCGTGCACTCACACGTGTCTGCGTAAATGTGAAAGCGTATGCACACACACACACACGTTCACACGTACACACACACACAAACACATGCGCACACGAACACACATACACACATACATACACAGACGCACACACATACACACGTTCACATGTCACCACGCTCACATCCATTTATCAGTCAGTTTTCGTGTCCGTCTTCACGCCTCGCTCTTTGACAACAGCAGCACCAGGAGATTTCTTGCCTGCACCGTCTGAACCGCCAGGGAATATCTCTCCTTCGGACCAAGGCTGACGTTTAACCGATGCTGCAATCACGTAGACTACTGCGGCAGCGAAGAGGAGACCTGACGTTATGAAGAACACTTCACGCCATTCTGCTGCCGTCTTGTTTGGCTGCACGATGAAACAAACAATAAGAAGATCACTTCAGGCACGAGTCCATGAATATACTACGCCCATTGCACATTGCCGAATATGGAATGCATGCGTAATGCTTGTGAGTACGCTGGGATCAGCAATGCGCTGTTCAACACTCCGCACGACCATACACAGGTATGGCCGTGTAGGGTGTTACGTGAGTACGCTGGGATCAGCAATGCACTGTTCAACACCCAGACACGACCATGCCCTGGATACATGAATGCTATTCATTGCTATCATTCATGATATCGTACGGCAAATGTACAGTTCTGGTCCCTTGACATCCAACCCTCATGATGAATAAAGTAGCGCCGTGTTCGATTGCACAGAACAATGAGTATTCAGTGCTAGGACTGTGCAGTGCTAGGGTTGTGTAGTGCTAGGGTTGTGCAGTGCTAGGACTGTGCAATGCTAGGGCTGTGCAGTGCTAGGGTTGTGTAGTGCTAGGGTTGTGTAGTGCTAGGGTTGTGCAGTGCTAGGGTTGCGTAGTGCTAGGACTGTGCAATGCTAGGCTGTGCTATTTTATTCACGAGGTTTGGATTTCCCTGGCCAGTATCTTATCATACAGTGACACATACTACTAGCAGTGTTGAAATCAACACGTCGGCAATAACATACGTGTTGGGGTATGGGTGATATACAACAACAACTCATGCTTACAATCAACACGTCGGCAATAACATACGTGTTGGGGTATGGGTGATATACAACAACAACTCATGCTTACAATCAACACGTCGGCAATAACATACGTGTTGGGGTATGGGTGATATACAACAACAACTCATGCTTACAATCAACACGTCGGCAATATACGTGTTGGGGTATGGGTGATATACAACAACAACTCATGCTTACAATCAACACGTCGGCAATAACATACGTGTTGGGGTATGGGTGATATACAACAACAACTCATGCTTACAATCAACACATCGGCAATAACATACGTGTTGGGGTATGGGTGATATACAACAACAACTCATGCTTACAATCAACTCGTCGGCAATAACATACGTGTTGGGGTATGGGTGATATACAACAACAACTCATGCTTACAATCAACTCGTCGGCAATAACATACGTGTTGGGGTATGGGTGATATACAACAACAACTCATGCTTACAATCAACTCGTCGGCAATAACATACGTGTTGGGGTATGGGTGATATACAACAACAACTCATGCTTACAATCAACTCGTCGGCAATAACATACGTGTTGGGGTATGGGTGATATACAACAACAACTCATGCTTACAATCAACTCGTCGGCAATAACATACGTGTTGGGGTATGGGTGATATACAACAACAACTCATGCTTACAATCAACTCGTCGGCAATAACATACGTGTTGGGGTATGGGTGATATACAACAACAACTCATGCTTACAATCAACTCGTCGGCAATAACATACGTGTTGGGGTATGGGTGATATACAACAACAACTCATGCTTACAATCAACTCGTCGGCAATAACATACGTGCTGGGGTATGGGTGATATACAACAACAACTCATGCTTACAATCAACACATCGGCAATAACATACGTGTTGGGGTATGGGTGATATACAACAACAACTCATGCTTACAATCAACACGTCGGCAATAACATACGTGTTGGGGTATGGGTGATATACAACAACAACTCATGCTTACAATCAACACATCGGCAATAACATACGTGTTGGGGTATGGGTGATATACAACAACAACTCATGCTTACAATCAACTCGTCGGCAATAACATACGTGTTGGGGTATGGGTGATATACAACAACAACTCATGCTTACAATCAACTCGTCGGCAATAACATACGTGTTGGGGTATGGGTGATATACAACAACAACTCATGCTTACAATCAACTCGTCGGCAATAACATACGTGTTGGGGTATGGGTGATATACAACAACAACTCATGCTTACAATCAACTCGTCGGCAATAACATACGTGTTGGGGTATGGGTGATATACAACAACAACTCATGCTTACAATCAACTCGTCGGCAATAACAATATACGTGTTGGGGTATGGGTGATATACAACAACAACTCATGCTTACAATCAACTCGTCGGCAATAACATACGTGTTGGGGTATGGGTGATATACAACAACAACTCATGCTTACAATCAACTCGTCGGCAATAACATACGTGTTGGGGTATGGGTGATATACAACAACAACTCATGCTTACAATCAACTCGTCGGCAATAACATACGTGTTGGGGTATGGGTGATATACAACAACAACTCATGCTTACAATCAACTCGTCGGCAATAACATACGTGTTGGGGTATGGGTGATATACAACAACAACTCATGCTTACAATCAACTCGTCGGCAATAACATACGTGTTGGGGTATGGGTGATATACAACAACAACTCATGCTTACAATCAACTCGTCGGCAATAACATACGTGTTGGGGTATGGGTGATATACAACAACAACTCATGCTTACAATCAACTCGTCGGCAATAACATACGTGCTGGGGTATGGGTGATATACAACAACAACTCATGCTTACAATCAACTCGTCGGCAATAACATACGTGTTGGGGTATGGGTGATATACAACAACAACTCATGCTTACAATCAACTCGTCGGCAATAACATACGTGTTGGGGTATGGGTGATATACAACAACAACTCATGCTTACAATCAACTCGTCGGCAATAACATACGTGTTGGGGTATGGGTGATATACAACAACAACTCATGCTTACAATCAACTCGTCGGCAATAACAATATACGTGTTGGGGTATGGGTGATATACAACAACAACTCATGCTTACAATCAACTCGTCGGCAATAACATACGTGTTGGGGTATGGGTGATATACAACAACAACTCATGCTTACAATCAACTCGTCGGCAATAACATACGTGTTGGGGTATGGGTGATATACAACAACAACTCATGCTTACAATCAACTCGTCGGCAATAACATACGTGTTGGGGTATGGGTGATATACAACAACAACTCATGCTTACAATCAACTCGTCGGCAATAACATACGTGTTGGGGTATGGGTGATATACAACAACAACTCATGCTTACAATCAACTCGTCGGCAATAACATACGTGTTGGGGTATGGGTGATATACAACAACAACTCATGCTTACAATCAACTCGTCGGCAATAACATACGTGTTGGGGTATGGGTGATATACAACAACAACTCATGCTTACAATCAACTGGTCGACAATAACATACGTGTTGGGGTATGGGTGATATACAACAACAACTCATGCTTACAATCAACTCGTCGGCAATAACATACGTGTTGGGGTATGGGTGATATACAACAACAACTCATGCTTACAATCAACTCGTCGGCAATAACATACGTGTTGGGGTATGGGTGATATACAACAACAACTCATGCTTACAATCAACTCGTCGGCAATAACATACGTGTTGGGGTATGGGTGATATACAACAACAACTCATGCTTACAATCAACTCGTCGGCAATAACATACGTGTTGGGGTATGGGTGATATACAACAACAACTCATGCTTACAATCAACTCGTCGGCAATAACATACGTGTTGGGGTATGGGTGATATACAACAACAACTCATGCTTACAATCAACTCGTCGGCAATAACATACGTGTTGGGGTATGGGTGATATACAACAACAACTCATGCTTACAATCAACTCGTCGGCAATAACATACGTGTTGGGGTATGGGTGATATACAACAACAACTCATGCTTACAATCAACTCGTCGGCAATAACATACGTGTTGGGGTATGGGTGATATACAACAACAACTCATGCTTACAATCAACTCGTCGGCAATAACATACGTGTTGGGGTATGGGTGATATACAACAACAACTCATGCTTACAATCAACTCGTCGGCAATACCAATATACGTGTTGGGGTGTGGGTGATATACAACAACAACTCATGCTTACAATCAACTCGTCGGCAATAACAATATACGTGTTGGGGTATGGGTGATATACAACAACAACTCATGCTTACAATCAACACGTCGGCAATAACATACGTGTTGGGGTATGGGTGATATACAACAACAACTCATGCTTACAATCAACACATCGGCAATAAGATACGTGTTGGGGTATGGGTGATATACAACAACAACTCATGCTTACAATCAACTCGTCGGCAATAACATACGTGTTGGGGTATGGGTGATATACAACAACAACTCATGCTTACAATCAACTCGTCGGCAATAACAATATACGTGTTGGGGTATGGGTGATATACAACAACAACTCATGCTTACAATCAACTCGTCGGCAATAACAATATACGTGTTGGGGTATGGGTGATATACAACAACAACTCATGCTTACAATCAACTCGTCGGCAATAACAATATACGTGTTGGGGTATGGGTGATATACAACAACAACTCATGCTTACAATCAACACGTCGGCAATAACATACGTGTTGGGGTATGGGTGATATACAACAACAACTCATGCTTACAATCAACACGTCGGCAATATACGTGTTGGGGTATGGGTGATATACAACAACAACTCATGCTTACAATCAACACGTCGGCAATAACATACGTGCTGGGGTATGGGTGATATACAACAACAACTCATGCTTACAATCAACACGTCGGCAATAACATACGTGTTGGGGTATGGGTGATATACAACAACAACTCATGCTTACAATCAACACGTCGGCAATAACATACGTGTTGGGGTATGGGTGATATACAACAACAACTCATGCTTACAATCAACACGTCGGCAATATACGTGTTGGGGTATGGGTGATATACAACAACAACTCATGCTTACAATCAACACGTCGGCAATAACATACGTGCTGGGGTATGGGTGATATACAACAACAACTCATGCTTACAATCAACACGTCGGCAATAACATACGTGTTGGGGTATGGGTGATATACAACAACAACTCATGCTTACAATCAACACATCG